TTTCGGGCTCCTTTAAGGTAGTCGTGTAGGAGAGATTGTTTTTTTTATGTATTTTTTAAATATCGCCGATAAAAATTAATAAGGCCTAAGAATGTTCTGATTTCTGAATGGTTGTTGGAAGCTTGTAATTAACAATAGTGTGGACTTCGTCAGGTAAAGGTCATGATCCTTGAGGAGTAATTTAATAACCCAAGAATTCTATTTCTTGTGTACCAGAGATAGAGTTGGAAACGTTAATGCGGAGTCCATGGTCATTTAATCTGGATTCTGTGTTGTTCCTCACTAGTAGATGCTATCAAAATGTCATCCCAGTAGGTAAAAGCAAAATTTAGACCAGAGAAAATGGTATTTGTAAATCTTTGAAATGTTGCTGGTGCATTTCTAAAACCAAAGCTCATTACATTAAATTCATATAATCCAAAAGGAGTAATAATAGCAGTTTGGCATCTGTCTTCTTTGGCAATAAGCACTTGATAGTAGGCTTTAAATAAATCTATTTTGGAATAAGTATATGTACTTTTTAAAATATGCTGGAAGTCCTCAATCCTAGAAATAGAATATCTCTCAGGAATTGTTCTATTGTTTAGCTGTGTATAATCTCCACATGGAACACGGCAAAATTAAAACCAATGCATCCAAACATAGAGCATTTCAAAAATGTTAGTTGCCTTATGCATTTTAATAAGCTTCTTCCTCTTCAGGTTGAGTTTATCAGGTATCAGGCACCTCTGCCAAATAGCTTTTTTGTGTCAAACACACCAAAAGCAATACTTCCTAGCTCCATTTGTTTGGGTCACCTACTTTGTTTATAAAGTCTGACAGTCCCTTAATAGAGCTCAGGTGTCACTTTAAGTATTGAGAATACCTAAAGTAGTCAAGTCACTATCACAAGTTCAAGGACAGTAACCAGTTCCAGTTTTCAAGATGTCCCTCGCCATGTACAGCCATCTCAACCACTGCAAGAGTCTGGTCTGCTGCTTTTGGCAGTCTTCAGGGCTGTATTCTGCTCCATCCTTTGAGATTGTCTTTTTTCACGTTTCCCCTTTCACAATATTCAATTCTTGGACATGTTTATATTTTTGTGTGTGTGCTCTTACATTTTCTTTTTAATTTTGATTTTATCTAGAGAGGTAGTTATGCTTTTAACAGCTTTCTGCCCTTCTCCAGATGCTGAGCAACTTCAGTAGAGGTCATTTCTACCTTACTCAATGAAGGATTCGGCTGATTCTCCTTTGACTGATTTACTCTAGTTTTCTTGTTTTGTGAAGAAAGGTCTACCTCAGAGGTTCAATGCAAAAGCAGGATTTTTAATTATATTGTCATTTTCAGCCATATATAAACTAAAAAAAGAAAGTAAAGAATAAAAAAGTCCACCCAGTATTGCCTGTTACTGGGTAAGGCAAAATACTCTAGAAGTTGCCAGGCATTCTAGAGGTTCCATTAAGACAGTAACTGCAGTGTCATTCTCCCTAGGCACTGGTTACATAACACCAAGGTTACGGGATGGGGTTCATGGCTTCTTATTTATTATTCGAAGCTATACTGTCAGATAATACAGAACATCTCGCTATCCACCACCTGTCAATGCCCCTGGTAGCCATTCAAGCCTAAGGTTAATAAACTTAGCTATACAATATATAATGTACTCTCAACTTATTTGTGAGATACTGCTCACAACAATATCAAAATGACAATTCAGACAAGCCTGACTACCCTCAGTCTTCAACACTGAGAAAAGCAAAAGTTGACATAGAACAATATTTCTCTTTTAAACCCCACTCCCACTGCACTCTTAGCTCCCACTGCAGACCCAAATTAGCTGTTTTGAGACAGTTTTATCTGAAAAGTGTTATTTCAGTTTCAGTTGAGTATTTTTATAGTTTATATCCAAATATATATTCAGGGGGATCCTAGTGGAGAGCAAGATGGTGTGCAGCATGTAGGTGGCCATATTTAAGGATGGCAAAATGATTATCAGATGTATATTTCTGTAAAAAGGGGTGGCCAATTTTAATTTGCATGTGTCAGCTGACAGTCTAAGATCAGTACTGTATAGATTGCCACATGATGTTTCTTTATGAGAGTAATACTATATAAATAATATATATACACACACACACATACATACACACAATAGTAATAAATATAGCAGTTTCTTACAAAGTTACATTTAAACATATCACAAAGTTGACTTACAAATTCAATCTTGTATGTTCTATAGATGCTTATTTTAAAATACCATATGTAAAATCGTAGATATTCAAGCAAATAAATTATTCCTGCATACCATGTCTACAGAAAATAAAAAATATTCTACTTGATAAATTGTATAATTAGTCACATATGACAAGTAAAATGGTAATTTGCACAAATTTAATCAGATGGAATACATTTGTGTTTATTGTATTTCAAATAAACAACAGTAAGTAGCTTCTAATGCTGCTTGAATTTAAAATTTGAGCTTTCATTTGGTAAACTAACACGTTTTTAGTTTTCATATGATAACTGAGCCAAATTAAAATGAGAAGTAAGAAATTATCACTGTAGTTATTTTTTGTGTTCAGTTTTCTAAAAGGTCAGTGAAAAAATTTCTTCATACAGTTTTCATTGTCTCAAGAACAATAATCTAATAGTATGGCATTTTCAGTTTAAATTGTTTATTATTGTTTGTGAAGAATTACATTTCAAACAGATTAAAGCATTTGTTGTTGCTATGCAGACAAACATTAATGACATCTTGTATTTATCTTTTAATCGTCTGAGTGGCATAATCGCCTTCATTCAGTCATGAAGTTTTTTGTCATTTAATATTTATTACATTATTACTTAAAATATTTATGTCCTTATCTTTTTTAAGGATCTATATGTTATCTTAAAGAATGAAAGTTCGTAAAAACAAAATAAAAAAATATTTATACATATTTAGCTAATAAATGCTGTTTAATAGCACTTCTTCAGGAGCAAATCTAAAAAGGCATGTCACTTAATGGCTTAAAAACTTTTAATAGTCATGTAACATCCATTTAATTGGTTCTTTCACATTTTCTGGAAGTGTTTCATGATTTTCCTGCTTATTTTGAGGAAGGGGCTTAAAAAAGAATGACGTATTTTATAGAAAAAATGCTATGTGCTTTTCAAATATAAATTGCAGTCTTGAAAAACCACAGGATTTTTTTAATTTAATGCTATCCAGTTAAGTAGTATATGAGGTAATGCATAAAATATACCAACTACCAATCATCTATACAAAATGTTCTTTTAATAGATATATGCGAGGCATATCAGACATGTTATCCTATTAATGAAGAGGCATACAAAATAAAAGCGGTAATGTACCTTAACTGAATACTGTAACAGACCATAACTATTGTTCTCCCTTCATTCTGAAGATGGGCTTCTTTAGAAGTCCCTGATTTTCTCCCTCTAATATTGAAACCTGGACTTTAACCATAGTTGCTGAGTACAGGGGAAAATATTAACTCTGAAATAGCTATAACATAAAGGTGTGTAACCCACTTTCATCTCCAATGATGCATGTTATTAAAAATACGTTAATTTATGAGTCTTCAATATGGGAGGAAATTTCCCTTTCCAAGCTACAATACTGGATAAAAATAAACTAATCAACACTAGAAGCAATTAGACATGAAGGGTTCCCCCCCCCAATTCTTTTAAAGTTTTAAAGAAGTGCGGTGGTCAACGCAAAGATAAGAAATTCATGTGTGCTGTCCACACTAAGTCACAGTGTCTGAGCTGTTTTGAAGTGTTTAGCTCATCCAGCCATTCAAATGATGTCAAAATTAGTTCCTAGCCAAACTGTGTGACCAAATATCAGCAAATGGGCAAGAAGTGGTGTATTCCGTTTCAAAAAGCTAAGATATGCAAACACAATTCAGTGCCTTCTCAATCATTTAGTGAAACTTCTATGCGATTTCAACATATTCATTAGATCTCAATGGCCCATTTCCTTCCAATGGATTCACATATTGTCTTACAGCTACCAATCAGTTTACTAGATAAACAGAGACTATCTCCATCATCGATACAGAACAGTTATGAAAAATTTCAAGCATTAAATTCCAGTTAACTTCTATAAAATTAGATTAAAACAGCTACATATTTTAAGGGGAAAAAATGGGAAACTAAAGAAGAGTGATAATTTTTACCTCATTTTGAAGCGTTATACGTTATACTTTTCTCATCTTCATTTGCCCAAATTATTTGAAATCCATGGTCATCAGAAGTCCAAAAAGGTTCATCAAATATCAAGAATATTTTATCCATTGTTCCAAAACCAATATTAGATAAGGCTTTGATTTTCTTTTCAGGTAAACTAGGACTGAAAAACGTATCCATATTTTCCTTCAAAAACCCAACAGAAGCAGAAATTATTACACAATCCGCAGAAATCTTTTCACCATCTTCACATTCAACTAAAACAGGAAATTTATCACAAGATCGATGTTTTAATGAAAATTCATTGAAACTATCGTAGCAAAAGTTTTTACACCACTTTACATTCTTGACAGCCTTGTTTAGAAGCACAGTCTTATCAGGTAGTTGACAATTAAGAATGTCTATCAAAGAACTAAATCCTTTTTTGAAGTTTATATGATATAAATCATCAGGACAATCAGCCCATTCAATATAACTCTGGACAGAAACATCACTTAAATCATCTGAACCATTGTCTATCATCTCAAATGTCAAAAACCAGTTAAATAATTCCCCATTTAATAGATATATCATAGTCATCAGAACAACTAGCCAAATACTTCTGAAATACATGAGAAAAATATTCGGTTACTGATTGTGGAATATCACTGTCTGGATAACAGCTTTCACCAAGGGCATTTTTTGCATCATTTAAAACTTTTTGAACTTCTCCTATAATCATTTTATCAACAGCCCCAGCAGGAGTACAAAATAGGCCTTTGTCTTCATAAGAGATTTCATTTAAATTATCAGCTAAGAGTTCATATGCTTTCGAAAATACATACAGTGGATTTTCGATGCCATGGATCCACTGAGCTCCAAGTTCTATAACTGAACCACCTGCAGAAAGAGGGAAAAAAAATCAGTTAAATATTTCAGCAATTTTTACTACAAGAAAAACTTTATTATGTGTCAAGAAAAACTTTGGAAGAAATGCATAATCATAATTAAACTTGACAATTCTAATAAAAGAACTCGCAAGAGTATCTTATGATTTTTTAATTACTTATGTCTGAAATGCATCAAAAAAGGAGCAATGGAGCACAGCAAAACATGTAAAGCTTTAAGTGCATAAATTTAACTCATTAATTTTTTAAAAAATTGTGTGCAAGATCTCTCATGCTCTAGTGCTGCACAATTGGTATTAAAAATGTATGACAAGAGATCATGCTAGGATTACTTGAAATGAGAATCTTAATACACAAAATATTTTGCAACAATATAAGTTAACTTTTTTTTTTTTGAACTGAAAAAACAAAGGCAAAACCAAAATAATGATAAGCTTGCTTGCTATTAATTGCACAAGTATAATACATTTTTAAATGAATTTACCAAATGTCAAGACATTTCTCCCACTGTGATAACCAATTTTCCGAAAATAAGGAAAATTAATTATTAGATTATAATTAAACGTAAAATTAAATAAACTACTCATATATTCTAAGCATTCACAAACTGCAATTAAAGTAACTGTATTCCTAAATCAAGTTAATGTTAAGATGTGTAGTTATTGCGTGAGTAATAATTATTTTTTATTTCAAGTATTTTATATTTTTGCATGTGTTTAATTATTTTGTAAAACTAACTTTAATGTTTTGTTAATATTCATATTTATATTTCTTTTATGGTGAATGGCAACAAGTAGTTATTCATATTTATGTTTCTTTTACGCTGAATGGCAACTAGTAATGATTCGTGATTATTCTGTTTTCTATTGTTATTCAAGCAGCACCTCATTTAATAGCAAAAAGATAAAAGCACTAACTTAGCTATTCGTTAGTGATTCTTGCTGTTTCTAATTATAATGCAGTTTGAATATCAGTAGTCAAGACTACATACTGGTGACCCTGTTTTATTTTTGAAATGACAACAAATGACTCATGGAGAAGAATTGGTGCAGGTGCAGTGGCTGGAACTTCATAAGAGGAGTGTAAAAATACCTCCTCTTTGGGGATGATAAGCCAGAAATATGTTTTTTTCAAGTTAAGGTGCAGTTCAAAATCAGTAATATTGTTTCAGAAGAAAAGAAATTAAATTTTTTAATTTCACAACTTGAACATAAGCAGGGTTCGTACACATTTCTGCACACGGAAATTAAGTACTTTTAAGGACTTTTAAGGACCATTAATGAAAAAAATTAAGGACATATGAGCAAACGGGAACTGAATAAATTCAATTGAAGATATTATCTATGCCTGAATTTCACTTTTATAATACCATCCTAAAAATAAAATAGATCCCTAAGTAGTACGCATTATTACTAAACATGAATTAATTAATATAATTGTTCATAAGTTTGAGAATAAAAACTATGCAAATTTATCAAGTAGCATTAAATATTTTACACTTATGATAGTTGGTCATATTTGAACATTTATATCGATTTCCTTCTCTTTTAAGCATCTTTTCTAACAATTAGAGATTTGTCTCAATATGCAAACCAATGCTCTCACTAGTTTCTGCGTGCATCATCGCCTAACTTATCAATCTCTCCATAATGTACCTATGAGGGTTTAACTGATCTGGTAAAAGTTAAATAGTACAAAACCCCCAACAGATGTGAAGCATATTATCACTATGTCTGAAATTAACTACAATATCAGACAAAGGTTTAAATAAGCCTCTTATTTAAAAAGAACTTAGAACATAAATTCATGTTCTGACGCTAACAAAATCAATTACAGCTCATGGTGACGTAATTAAACAAGAATAGTCAAATTCAAACTAATAATGTGGACTAGTGGTCAAAGATTATACAATTTAATTGTAATTTAATCTGGCTCAATAACTCTATCATATGAGGAAATAGAAATTGGAAATTATAGTAAATGTTGAAATCAAACAATTGGGTAATTTACATAATAATAACTGCACATATCTTTGAAGAATAATTTCCTTTATAGTTTCTTTCTTCAACACGTTTCCTTTTCATTTTAGAATTTTTGGATTTAATTAAGGATTTCTGTTATTCTAAAAACACAAAATGCATTTAGAAAGTACAGAAAAAGTGGCTAATTTTATTTCTTTAGTAATATGAACATTCAGAAGCAATATGAAATATATATAGTAAAGGACGGTTACAGAGCTGATGTGGCAGAATTTCTATAATTTAGCAACACACCAAACTACAAAATCTAGAAATGGCAAAACTTTTAGAATTTAAAGCAAGCATTGGAAGCAGAATTTAGAAAGGCAGTAGGCAGCAGAATTTAGGATCCACAGAGATTGCATCAGGTGGGAAAATGCCTATTGCCAGCTAAGTGTATGATGCATTAAGAAATATTATATGAATCTTTTAAACTGAAAGTTTTCAATTTCTTTATTAATAAAAAAATCCCTTTCTATAATGCCTGCCCATGTGATAAGATTAGAAGCATTTTTGATATTTTCCATGCTTCTGTCTAGTGAAAAGTAGAGAAAATAAAGAGAAGATAAACCTATTAAGAGTCTAGTATCAGAAGTAATACATTCAAATATTATGTTTTCATTGTTCTTCCAGATGTTCTCCCAAAATTAAGAAATTCATTGAAAACTTTCTGTAAAATACATCCACTACGTGTTGATACCATGGAGATATTTTTCATTTTGTCACATATTTCTCAAATCTTCTAGAATCTAGGTCTATAAATCTTGCCTTAAAATCCTTCTAAGCTTTCCAAGCTGCAATGTCTAAAATCATAAAGAAAAATTATCCCTACCATTTCTGTAACAGAAAAAAAGCCAGAAATATTTTGAAAAAAAGTAGGAGGGAAAAGCATAAAATTAATTTTATAGAGAAAACTGATGCACATTCTGAGAATTTTGAATATTCTGAGAAAATTGCATGGGAAAACTTACTATGAAAAAATTAAAAACAAGACATTTTTAATTAATTACACAGCTAATTTTGCTTTTGATAAGAGCTGTTTCGAAAATTGTGCTTTAGAGCATTAGACCTTGTTTATTTTTCAGATTTAAAATAATTAAAATATTTAAGTTGCCAAAATGAAACTTTATAATATGACAGCGAAAAAAAAAATGTTTTATTTTAATGTTATTTTTTAAATATAATTTCAATATATTACCATTGTTTTAATAAGAATTTATCAACTGTTACGATGTTTTAAAAAAAAAATCGTTCAAAAAATTCTCAAGATTTTTGGAATTAAAAAGTTTCTATAGAAACTAATCTTAAAATCGCCAAAATGTTGAAAAGTCGCCAAATTTAGAACCGTTTAATAAAAGAATTCACATCCCCAAAAGCAAAAAGTTGTTTAAGAGCTCTTTACTAGAAAAAATGAATTTCGAAATGCTTATGTTTCACTTCTTGCTTAGAAACTCGAGTATCCCATCATTTATATTAGAAATAGAAACAAATTACAATTCATGAACCTATTCAAAATATTACCATATATATGGCAGTGAATCGCCAAAAATATTCTTCAAAATGCTAATTCACACTCAAAATGACAGTCGTAAAAACAGACAGAAATTTTAGATGATTAAAATTAAGGTCCTTCTGTTGATTTTGAGCAAAATTAAGGACTCTTAAGGACCATACGAACCCTGCTAAGTTAGTCGGAAGTATCTGGGATATTGTACCAAACGAAAGTGCCACAAAATATTCAGATGCTAAAATTAGATTATTACATGTATTTAAGGAAAGTGAAAATGTACGGATTAAACGTTTTGATTACTGGTATCGAACTTGGAGACATGAAACCAAGCCAACGTTTGCAGAAGTTGAGATCAGTTGCTACTACAGATGTGTCTGAAAATCTAATCAAAACATTTATGGCTGGAGAAGCTACCTGACTCCATAAAAATATATTATTAGTTAGTGATGAAGATGTAACCAAGTTAGCGTCTATGGCAGATAAAATTAGTGATATGAATCGGAAACCAGAAGTATTAATGCTCCTTCTGTTCCCATGCAAATGATTTGTTGCAAAAAATTACCTTTCTTGAACAAAAAATTGATCAAGTAACCCCATTCGCTCAAGACGACAGGGACTCGGATTTACGTAATTCACGTTCACGATCTCGAAGCCAACCTCGTAAACGATATGACCCTACTGGCAAATTTTGTTTTTATCACTTTCGTTTTGGAGCAAAATTCATTCTAGAGAAATGCAAGCCTCCGTGTGCTTGGGTAAAACAACGATTTCAAAAAACCAGGAAAAACTCGAATCTGCAGTAGGTTCAGCGGCAAACGCGTTTGCAGAAATATGAAGGATTGTCGCAAATTTCGTTTATTCGTTCGTGACCGAAGATCAAATTTGCACTTTCTTATTGATAGCGGAGCTGACGTAAGCATAATTCCTGCTACTTCACAGAATAAATGTAAAACTGAATATAAACTGTATGCAGCTAATGGCACAGATATTTCCACTTATGGCATAAAAACGCTAACTCTTGATTTGGGATTACGTCGTGATTTTCAGTTTCCATTCATAATTGCTGATGTCACAAAAGGTATTTTAGGAGCTGACTTTCTTCACAAATATAAATTGCTTGTCGATATAAATAAGAAAAAAATTAATTGATGGCGTAACACAGCTTTGTGTCCAGTGTGATGTCGCTGCTATTTCCAGTGATTACTCAGTAACCACATTAAATAAATCCATAAAAATTTTCGATTTACTGTCGAAATATCCCGAAATTTCTAAACCTAACCTTTTTCCTACACAAATTAAACATGGTGTTACACATTTTATTTCGACTGTTGGTCAACTCAAAGGCACGACAGCTCGATCCAAAACGCTTAGCTATAGCTAAAGAGGAATTTAAATTTATGCTTGACAATGGAATAATTCGTCCATCAAACTCCCAGTGGTCAAGCCCCTTGCACCTTGTTACGA